CCGATTCGAATAATGTTAAATCGTAGAAGAACCGAACCCGTTAACGAACCGAACCAGTTATAAACCGAACCAAAAAAAACTGAACCAAAAAAGAACCGAACCGTTTCTAACCCGAAACCGTTTGAATCGGGATAAAAACCGTTTACACCGAACCGTTAACAAGCCGCAACACGTCGGCACTGAACCGTTTACTACCTAGACTGTTTACAACCCGAACCGAATTTAAACCGGGATAAAAACCGTTTACACCGAACCATTAACAAACCGCAATCCGTTTGCACCGAACCGTTTACTACCCGGACCGTTTACAACCCAAATCGAATTTAAACCGGGATAAAAACCGTTTACACCAAACCGTTAACAAACCGCAACCCGTCTACACCGAACCCGTTACTACCCGAGCCGAAGTTAAACCGTTCAAGAATAAACCGAAACCGAATCGAACCGATAATTACTTAAACCGAACTGAAACCAACCCGTAAGACACATAAACTGATTTCAAACCGACCCGATTTCAAACCAAACCGTAACCGAACTGTCAAACCGTTTTGACAGTACTAGTTAGAGGCCTTAAGGGGTGTAATGGATTGAGTTTAGATTAACGGGGTGTTTGACAACAGGGATAGGAATAATGAGGATAAGAAGGTATGATAAGGATAGGGAATTAAGACCATCTCCATTGGTGAGACTTAGCTTTGAGTATTGAAATACAAAATGAGTTGTTTTTTACCTCCAATGGTGATACCCAACCCGCTTCTCAATTTAGCAACTCATGTGAGTCTAATTTCCCAATGGTAATATTCTGTAAAGTATATTAATATCACTTTCAATTTATGGCCCACCAAATCCATATTGTAAATTTTTCAAAAAATAAATAAAAATAAAACTTAAATAAATTATAAAATATATTATAATATTGATAAAGGACCCATACGTTTTGTCAAATGAGACTCAAACTTGAGTATCTAAACTTAGCAACTTTTTTTTTGGAGTTGCTAAGTTTAGATACCAACTTATTGATATCCTTTGCAAAAAATACTCTCTCTCTCCTAAAAAACTCCCTCAAGTCTCACCATTGGAGATAGTCTAATGGGTGGGATAAGGATAAAAATTATGTTATCCATTATTTGGTATGATTTGGGAATTAAATTGGGATAAAGTAGTAAAATTACTTAACTATCCTTACTAACATTTCTCCTCTCCCCTCTTCCTTCCCTTTCATTAAGGGTAAAATTGTCTTTTACTTTTCAATTTTAATCCCTACACCTTATACCTGCCCCCTTGTTATAAAAATAGAGGGATAACTCTATTCTTTATCCCTATCCTTTTCATATGGGATAGAACAATTCCCATTAAACAAACAAGGGATTATTAATCCCTATCCCATCATTTATCCTTACAAACAAACAGCCTCTAAGTAGCAATAGAGCTAAGCACAGAATGGATATCCGATCTAAAATGAATTTTGGATCGAACATTTATATCCGAATCCAATACGAATTTTTTTGGATATTTGACATTGGCATTTGAAAATTTTCTGATTTTAGATTGGAATATCCAAAATACTACTTCCTTCGTTTTTTTATAGTTAGGTTTGTCTCGATTTATATTATTTTAATATTAAATGTTTATAATTTTTACATATTGATAATTAAAGATATTAACGATAGAAAATATGCATCGACAAGCTTGAAAAGAGAAGTGTTGCAACTACTCCCTCCGTTTCATAATAATCGCAACACTTTGACCTGCACACATACCAATGTACAACTTTGATCATTAATATTTGTAATTATATACTATTAAGAAGTATAATAGCTTGATCTAATGAAAATATACATAAAAACTAATCCAAAAATATTTTACATGGCAGTATATGTCTTGATAAAAAGTGTAGTCAAAGTAAGCATATAAATAGTGCAAAGGTCAAAGTGTTGCGATTATTACAAAACAGAGGGAGTATAAAATAACAGAGGAAGTATATAATTAAATTAGTTTTTTAATTTTTTTTTTAGAGAAATTGTATCCAAAATTGTCGATCAGTATCCTAAATTATCAAATAGGCTGCAAATAAGATCTTAAGATATTCTTATATTTGACTAGTTTTGCTTAGCCCTAAGTGACATATGATAAAGGAAAATTTAACATGAATAATCCAACCTTTTGCTGGTTCTCCCAAAATAATCCAACATTTGGATTAACCATGAATAATCCCACCTTTATCTATTATTCTCCCACACCGCCCCCAGCAGGTCACCATACCCCTCTGACCGGTTGCCAAGCCACGTGTCAGCTTCTTTTTATATATATATATATATATATATATATATATATATATATATATTATATATATATATATATATAATCTTATTTTAGTTTAAAACTTAATTTATATAAAACATCCCAAAAAAAAAATCAAAAACCATACACTAGTAGAAAAAACTAATTTAGAAGCGGTTCAAACCCCCTAATTGGAAGCGGTTTTGAACCGCTTCGGTTTGGGGGGCTTGCCATTGTCAGTTAGAATTGGAAGCGGTTCAAACCGCTTCCAATTAGTGGAGAATTTGAAGCGGTTTGGCGCCAAACCGCTTCCAATTGTAGTTTTTTTTTTATTTTTTTTATTTTTTTTTATAATTTATTACTAATAATATTAATATAATAATATTATTAGTGACCTTTCACAATAATTTCAGTATTATTAATTAATAATAAAATAATATTATTAATCGATATAAATTTATTATTATTAATTAATAATAAAATTAATATTATTAATTAATAATAATATTAATATTAGTTACAAAATAATACAATAATATATATAACACGAAATAATTATATAAATAAAAAGTAACATCATTAATATATTTAATGAACAACAATATTTAATTACACCAAAATATATTAAGATTACAATTAGAAATACTACGTACATACTAATACGTACTTAATTAAAATAATGTTGACAATAATAAGTAATTAATAAAGTCAAGCTAACAAACCAATATAACCATTACGACAATTCTACATGCCATCAAATGTGACGAAAAAAGCCCACATGTCGCGAACTTCATTGATTTCATTCCTTGTTAACGGGCCTTCCCTTTGAACCTTGCAAAACTTTAGAGGAAAAAAAAAAAACCAAACATTGTCATGAGTATCACAACACCGAAATTCACCGAAAATCACCAAAATGGCCGAAATGCACAAAAATGACATGCATCATGTGCATGTACAGGCTGCTGGGCAGCTGCCTGGCTGGGCTGCTACCTGGCTGGGTGCCTGCCTGGCTAGGCTGCTGCCTGGCGGGGCTGGTGCAGTGGCCTGGCCTGCCCGCCTTGGCTGCTGCAGTGGCCTGGGCAGCCTGCCTTGGTTGCTGCACAGTCTGGGCAGCGTGCCTTTGCATATTGCGTGTTATGCTTGTGTTTTGTTCGGTGCAAGTTGTGCTTGTGTTTTGTTCAGTGCAATAATGAAAACAATTAATAGGTTGAAGATAGTAAAAGCATACCTCATCTAGTTGTTGTGCGTCCTTGCAACTACTGACTATGTCAAGCATAAACCTCATAACGTATAGGGCACAGTCAAGTCCGTCGTCTTGTTGCGCACACTGACATGCCACAAAGGATATCAAATCATGCATACCCATAACCGAAGCCAAGTATATTAAGCAAATCACTAACTCAAGGCATTACCTTTCCATATTCCCACGTAGGATTCGCAGCAGAACGACAATGTAGCTTCTTCATAACACTTTAGGAAAGTAAGTTCAAAGTTAGAAACATAAATACTCAATGGGTTAGGTGAGGTCAATTAACAATAGGAAGCAATATGTACCTATTCAATATATTATTCACTAGCAACCTACGTGGTGGGTTCTGACGAAGTGAATCAAAGTGGTAGATTGTGTATTTGGAAACACAAATCACCAAAAGGGTCCAATGAGCACTGCATATATTGAAAAAACCTCAACAAATATACGCCACAGTTAACTGCATTTTCAAAATTTTTTTAAAAAATAACAACTGAATTTATGACATTTGTAGACGTACTCCTCAAAACATGGGGCTAATATGAACTTATCTCCCGCACGCGTTGATTCCTTGATACTCCGTTCTAGGTAATCTTCCACATCACGAGGGTTGCACAAGCATCTGGTAAGCGAGGTCTGCTCGGGGCAAAACCACCCAACTGCAGCCTTGGAATCGCCTAAGCATCTAAGGTGCTCCTGTAGTGCCCTTCATGACAGTATTGTGGGGAATAATTATTAAAAGCATTGTTTACATTCGAAAATGCAACAAAATGATTAGGAATAGTGGCATTGAATTACCTCATGAAAGCTTGAACGATGGAAATGTTAAGCATGGCACTGGATAGAAATTCCTTCACATCCTCTTTTGCAATTGGTGCGATCCCATCCTCATCATAGTGGAACAATGCCTTAGGTAAAATCACTTCAATAGATCTACCCCTAGGCAACTCACTCACACGGTTATGAAAAAAGTACAAGCTCTAGAGAGCGAATTCAGGATGCCGGCTTCTACTAGTGGAGTACAACTCGTGGCAGAACCTCTCGAACTCTTCTTCAACCCTTGTCCTTGTTCCATGTTCTTTGTAGGTTGGAAATTCTTAGATTTTGGATTCTCCACCTTCTTCCTTTTAGATGACTGATTTTCATTTGTAACATAAAAGCACATGGTTATATTACAAGCTATTTGGGACATGTTTTAAAAACAAGGTAAATAGTGTACACTTACCCCTCCTATCAACCTCACCCGATCACGTGGCCATTGCACAAAGCTACCTTTCGCATCAAGCAGCGTGATGAAGTCATATTCCTCTCTAGGCACCGGTAGTGGCAAGTCCTCAAACCCTGGTACTATGGAATTAATCCCGACCGAGATATAGCGGGTACTAGTATTAGACTTAAAATGGACCTTGTCAAACGTTTGTGCGCTACCATACCCCACCAACTCTCCATCCACGTTTTTGCCGGAGTGAAGAAGCTCACAAGGCGTCTCTTCCTACACAATTGATTAGGACAAGTTATGAACTAATTAACCAGCGTAAGCCTAATACGTTTACATTTCATTAAGACTTGAAAGTTACCTGAACATCTGGAAAAGGATCAGGTGTCTGGTTTGCAATCCCCCTTGAGTCTGCATGCGTAGGAGTAGGAATCTGCAATAGTAAAATAATTATGCTACATAAGGCCTCGTTTGATGATATGAAGTTCATGTTCTCAACTGTAATTCAATTACCTCGCTCTCAACAAGTGGATCGTCCTCGGCATCTTCTGGGTGACTACATGAGTCCACTGGGGTTATCGGGGGGAAAGACAAGTTTGGCAAGTTCATGTGCTTTAAAATGGCATTGAATTGAATTTGCAATTGTTCTTGCACCTCTTGGCGTATCTCCACCTTAATTGATTCCTTTTCCTTGGCATTCATATGGTGGGGCGAATTAACACTTGATCTTGTTCTTCCTGATTTAGTGTATTCTGAACCCATAACCTTTTCCCACCCTAGTTGTTTCCCTCCCGCACCAATGACTCGCCCAGGGTGGTATGGTTTTCCCAAAGCCAAGGTAAAAGGATCGTTCTCTATGCTTGGAGTGAGCTTGCCTTCAACCACTTCCGACGTATGCTCGAGCTGCAACAACACAAAAAGTTTCCAGTTCTAAGTTAGATGTAGTTTCTATGGAAATATTTAATAATAACTGTGGAATATTACCATAAATGTCAAAGGGTGCTTACAAGTGCATCTGCTACTGTCCTTTTATCCGGGTGCATAATGTACTTCCCGGTGTTCTTGTCGATCCCATGCATAGCACACCACCAATCATTTGCACGACTTACCAAACTTGTGACCATGGAGGGAAGCAGTTTATCAGATGATGGTATTTTGGATGCGGGGTATAGACCCTCTTTGATCCACTTTGGTCTACTTTCCGCAAATGTCTTACAACCCATATGATGGTTATACATTTTCTTCTCAGCATTGCTCGTAGCTTGTTGACTTTTTTCCTACACATTACCAAATGTTCGCATCATAATATGTAGTGAGCAAAATTGAGGAAACAACTCTAATTTATATTAAAATACATACAAGTGCAGTAGTAGTAGTTGATTTTGCCACAAACTTCTCCCAGTCCTTCACCGTTATTTGTGGATATACATCCCACAGTTTCTTCTCAGGTTCCTCCTCTCCTGCATTACCCATCACAGTTTTCTTCGGTTTATGCCTTTGTTTCTTATGGATCCATCTTGTTCTCAACGAACTTTTGAAGTTTTTGAATCTCTCTTGTACAAAACCTTCAAACGATCTTCTCTTGTCTGGCTCATCAGGAATATTAAACACACTCTGTAAGAATGGCAAACGTACATGTTAGCCTAGGGCAAAATAAAGTAAAAAAAAAAAAAAAAAAGATCCTGCACAACCACCCTAGGCAGCTGCACAGCATCCCTGGCAGGCTGCACAGCCAGCCTAGGCAGCTGCACAGCCCTAGCAGGCTGCACAGCCAGCCTAGACACCTGCACAGCAGACCTGGCAGGCTGCACACAGCCTTGGCCTGCTGCACAGTCAAGTAGGCAAGCTGCACAACCAATGTTACGAAGTTTGGTTTGATTTTGGTGAATGCACATTGATTTTGGTACGAAGTTTTTTGAGAAAAACTAAAATGCAAAACACTTACCATTGTATCATCCCAAAACATTTGAAGCAACCCTTTAGGTATCTCTGCCCAGTCAAGTGTGATCGGTATTTTACGAGTCAATATCCCAATGTGTGTGGAATATTTGCTGCGCCATTGCCCAGTAAGTTGACCCAACTCGTCAAACTCAAGAATCATGGGTTCCCCGGGTTTCTTAAAAGCTTTTGTTGCACCCCTTACCTTTCTCTTCCCCGGTGCCTTTCCACCACCACTGGTTTTCACTTGACGTTGCATTTGTCCTTGTGAATCTCGTACAAACTCGGAGACAATATCATCCCTAATAGGGGGGCACATTCAGCTTGTATCTCATAAGCATCAAGCCTACGCTGCAAGTCATCATGAGCTTGGTCTTCTGGTTCACCCAAATCTTGCTCCTTGTTGACATCATACAACTCGTCACTAGATTGAGAACTACCAATGTCTTCATCATCCATATCCTCTTCGTGGTGAAGATATTCATCACCACCCATTTTATGTAGACACCTACCACCACAAGACACGCAAATAGTTAGTCATTAGTAACATGTTTACAAGTTGAAAATGCTTAAAAGTCATTGATTTCATGCTAATTCAAGGTTATAGGAGCGAAATAAGTTCAAAATGGCAAAAATGAGCAACTAACTTTCCCAACTTGTTTATTTTCATTCCTAGTTCACATCTAATCCTTCTAACAACTCATATTTGGTATACAAAACATGTTTACAAGTTGAAAATGCTTAAAAGTCATTGATTTCATGCTAATTCAAGGTTATAGGAGCGAAGTAAGTTCAAAATGGCAAAAATGAGCTACTAACTTTCCCAACTTCTTTATTTTCATTCCTAGTTCGCATCTAATCCTTCTAACAACTCATATTTGGTATACAAAACATGTTTACAAGTTGAAAATGCTTAAAAGTCATAGATACCATGCTAATATACAAGGTTATGGGAGCGAAATAAGTTCAAAATGGAAAAAATGAGCAACTAACTTTCCCAACTTCTTTATTTTCATTCCTAGTTCACATCTAATCCTTCTAAGAACTCATATTTGGTATACAAAACATGTTTACAAAAAATTACGATGCTTAAAAAATTGTACCTCATTCGAGTATTCCCTCATTGTGGTCTACTCGAATATAATTTGCACCCTTGTCCACATCATTTGCTACATCAAGTGTAGGGGCGGTGAAAAGGGGCGAATCATCAAACGCATCATATTCGTCCTTGTCTTCAACATCTCCAACCCCTAAAATTCTTCTTTTGCTAGCACGGACGATGGACCATTTTGGATCGGCTGGGTCGGTTACATAGAACACTTGCTTGGCTTGAGATGCAAGGATGAATGGTTCCAAACTATCCCGCAAGTGGCCAAGGTATACAAGAGTGAAGTCATCATGTCTGACGTTGCGCCTAATATTATCAACCCATTTACACTTAAATAGACCTACCTTGAACTCACGGTAATCTAGTTCCCATATTTCCTGAATTCGTCCGTAGTAGGATAATTGTGCGTCAACCGGTGCTGTATCCTTCGTACTTGCAAACTCTCTTGATGAAGCCACAAGAGTGACACCACTGTTTTGAGTCAATGAGGATTTCTGATCACGATGCTCAGTCCAGAATGTATACCCATTTATGTCATATCCCTCAAAAGAATAAACATCTTCCTTTGGACCATAAGCTAGACACTCTATAGTATCAGAGACACTCTCATCCAATTGACGCATAACTCGATCATGGAACCACGTCACAAACATCTTATTATGCAACTGCATTAGTGCCCTTTCCCCTTTTGATGGAAATTCCGCACACAAACTATCCATGTGCTCTTTTAAATATGGGTGAACCTCCGCAACATGATGAAGCACAAATAGGTGAGCTTGCAAGAACTGATCATGAGTAGGTGAGATCCGTTTCGACCCGAGGGTACCATGACCATCAAGTCTCCCTTCATGTCGGGAAGTGGGAAGCCCTATTGGTTCGGCAACGGCAACATACTCCGCCACGAAATTACCAATCTCCTCCGCCACAATCCCTTGAATCATACTACCTTCTGGATGGGCTGGATTCCTGACTTTATGTTGCAATGTGCCCATGTGTCTTTCAAAAGGATAGCACCACCTCATAAAGACTGGACCGCACATCTTAATCTCACGAACCAAATGAAGAACCAAATGCACCATTATGTCAAAAATGACGGTGGGAAATACATTTCAAATTTGCACAAAGTTACGACTACATTCGCCTGGAGAGCATCAAGTGTAAAAGGATCAAGCACTTTGCTGCATATGGTATTGAAAAACGAACAAAGGCTTGTAATAGCTTCTCTCACGTGCTTCGGTAGAATACCACGAATTGCAATCGGTAGGAATACTTGCATCATCATGTGACAATCATGTGATTTCATACTAGTCAACTTCATTTCCCTATTTAAGGAAACGAATCTTTTCATGTTTGACGAGAAACCAGATGGAACCTTAATGTCATACAAACAAGCACAAAACTTTCGTTTTTCTTCCTTTGACAATGTGTAGCAAGCTGGAGGTAAATAAACCTTTTCATTCTTGCCTTTTCCACCATCTTTCTTCTTTGATACACTGGTGCCCTTTCCTTTGCGCTCCCCCTTACGTCTTTTGCCACCATCTTCGCTTACATTTTCCATTACCTTGGCCTTCCCTATCTTTGGCTGGACCCATAATTTTGGACGAACCCCCCACGCTTCCAAATCTAATCGCGCGCTCTTTCCATCATTTGTTTTACCATGAATACCCATAATTGTCCCAACAACTGCATCACAAACATTCTTCTCTATATGCATCACATCGAGACAATGTCTAACATCATGTTCTTTCCAGTACTCAAGCTTCCAAAAGATCGATTACTTTTTAAAGAGAGCATGTGGGTCTAAAGGTTTCGATGTTTTACCAAAAACAGTTGCTATACCCTTCACTCGACTATACACCTCATGTCCACTCTATGGCCTAGGAGCAACCCCCTCTTCCACTTTCCCATTGAAGGCCTTTTTCTGCCTACGATATGGGTGATCGCGCCTAAGAAATCTTCGGGTCCTCACGTACACATCTTTGCCGTAGTGTTCAAGGTACACGTTTGGTGTGTCATCGATACAAATAGGACATGCTTTATGCCCTTTGTTCTTGTACCCGGACAAGTTGCCATATGCGGGAAAATCATTAATGGTCCACATAAGGGCTGCACGCAAGAGGAACATCTCGTTCTTATGGGCATCAAAAACAGAAACTCCTTCGTCCTACATGTTTCTCAAATCATCAACAAAGGGCTCAAGGTAAACATCTATGTCGTTTCCAGGTTGCCTTGGACCCGTTATCAATAGTGACAACATTACATATTTTCGTTTCATGCACAACCACGAAGGCAAGTTGTAGATCACTAAAAGTACCGGCCATGTGCTATGTTGGGTACTAAGAGTGCCAAATGGATTCATACCGTCGGTGCACAACCCAAGCCTTAAATTTCTTACTTCATCACCAAATGCCCTGAACTTCATATCGATGTTCTTCCAATCCGGAGAGTCAGCCGGATGCTTTAGCAAACCGTTTTTCTTTCTTCCCTCTGCATGCCATCTCAAGTTCTTAGCATCTTTTGGTATTGAAAATAGACGCTT